CTTTTATGTAGATTTTATTAACGGATTAGCAAGGGTATTTTAGCTTTTAACTGTTGATATTTAGATAATGTACATGTATAAGTTATAAGGTAAATAAGCATGAAAAGAGAGGTATCTCTTCAGTACATATTGGAAGTATACTCGAATCCCATGATACCGGTGGCTCCACGGTACCGGTGTATTCACATATCTCGCGATATTATTGTCAACGCCTACCGAGTGTTTTTATTGACATGCTCTAGTAATATTTGCTATTTCAAGGGTTTTTAAACATTTTAATGAATTTATGAAGAAAATATTTTACATATCCTACCTTATTTTTCATTTACTATCCTTTTCCTCCATTGCATAAATCGGGCTCTCTACAAAACACTTTTTTTTCCAAAAAAATAAAAAAAATGACAGGTGTTGACGTCATTCTTACCTCCATTACATGTCACTTGACCTTCTGACATCATTTTTGGCGGGAAAAAATTAATCTATGGAAAGCCATTGGTGAATATAAAACAATTTGTGAAAATTGAAAAATCAGTTTCATTCCGTCTGTTGAGGGAGCCTGTGTAAAGTGCCATATTGATATTTTATCTTCATCATATAGAAATAGAATAGATTCAATGATATAAAAGGACCAGATAATCACAACAACACTAAAATTAAGTGAAGGGGGAATTTTTGAATCCAGCCACATGGTATAATATACACTTGTAATTGGGAGTAAAAGATTCTAATACAACAGAGATCCCTTGGGTGTTAATAAAAGATGAACAGTAAACTATTCAAAAACACGTTTTTATTTTGTTTTTAAGTTGTTTTTTTAGATAGGAATACAAGAATGCTAAAATGATATTTTTTATATTAAAACTGCAATGGCTTTCCATATAAATAACATTTTTACCAGTGCATCGGTAGCATGAAGTCTGTTTAACTATGTCATACAAAATGGTCGACAATTGTTATCATTTGTAGTGAGCGAGAATTTCATAGTAACAGAACTCTGTAATGTATTTCAAAGAGGATTAAATGTTAATGAAGTTGTTAATTCCTTCTTTTTTTCAAGTCAGTAAAATTTTATCTGAAAAACGCCTTGTATAAAATATGTACACCGGTATCGTGGAGACTCGGGCTATTGGCAATATGTGCTGAGGAGTTGTCTCCCCTGTAACAATGTATTAGTATCTTATAATTTTTATCAGAATGACCATACAGGCAATTTTATGATTTTATGTAATTGAAATGTTGTAAATGTTATGTATGGATGAGACTTTAATAAAGATTATATATATAATTTCATACTTTTTCCGTACTAAATAATTCAATCAGTCTGCACATGTTAGGCATTCTATAGTAGTATGATATAATTCTGAGAGAGCTCTTAATAGTGTTACAATTGTATAAACAAATGAAATGAAATTCCTCTTCGGTCTCATAACTAGAACAAAACTGACATAAGCGTTCATCACGAGGTATTTTATAAGCACCATATCTCTCTGTGTAAGTCTTAGTTTATGTGCAGGAAATTTCGCTTAACAGTTCTTCTTTACGTTTTGTTATGGAGAGTTTCTAAGGTATTTGCCTACTTCAAACGAATTATACTAGTGGACATACAAGTATATTATCTATATCTTTTAGCATGGATGTTTGATATATTGATCAAAAAATTTTAAAGAATAAATTTCATCACCATTTGTTTAAAAAGTTTACAAAATATGTAGTTTTATATTGTAATGATTGTTATTGGTTGTTAACAGAAAATATGTTTTCGTTCGTTATGTACTTAAGAAGTCTAAGATTAATTGATGAGTTTATGTAATGCAGCTGAAGCATAAATATTTATAAAATTATGTTTTTATTGTTCTTTTTAATAGAAAAAACATTTTATTTTATGCTTTTCAGTGGATTACTGATTTATCGGTGACAATTATATTTGATAATTTCACAGTGAAAATTATCAAAATATAATTTTTTTCACTTTTCAATGACGATACTACTTTTTAACATTTTCCCCATTTTGTACCTCAATTTTATTTTTGCTGACAATTCTGACGATGTCAAGCTGTTTAAAGGAAAGAAAAGCTGAGATTGATAAATAACTGATATGTCAAAAGTATTAAAAAGAAGAAAACTTACTTCTATTCATTCAAATTCGAATCACCAAATTTCGTCTCTAATTTCTTTTTGTTTCATTTTTACAGTCTGAAAAATACATTCCTTCTACATGCACAACTGCTCTTGATGACATTGGGGCATATTAAAGTATCCTACGAGCAATAACTGTCGTATGCCTTATAAAAACTTGAAAAGCAATGACAGCCATAGGTTCGAAGTAAGTAAACAACTCAGCGTTCCTGAGCCAGACTTTAAAGTTTTCCATTTTTCTTGCTGCTTTTTGAATGTTTTCACATCTGTCAACACTTATTTTTTGGTATGTTACAATACTCGTATAAGTTTTCTTTGTTTTAAAAGGTGTATGACTAACAAATCCAAATGATATCCCTCTGAATCAAACAAAATTATTTTCCTCCCGTGAAATACACAACTTAAAAAAAAATGGCTGCCGCTTACATTTAACAAAGCCAGGTCTAATATAAATTCGCAGTAAGTAACAGAAATATGGATGGATGGTTGGACTTTTTCTCTTACAAAAATTGTTTGTTTTTATTATTAATACAAGCGATCATTCATATTTTTAATAAGTGAATAATATCACCGTCATGTAACGTTGATTGTGCAACTTATTTTTCAGTTCAAGACTTCTTGTATTAAATGTGAAAGTCCGACTAAATGGGGCTCTCAATGGGGAAATTGATTTTGGTATTAACGTAAATATTATGGAAATTTCGTTTTAACATGTTTTTAAGCATAAAATAAAAAAAAATTGTTTGTTGTGTAAGATGTAATTTTATTCCATCTCGTGAACTTTAAAAACAGTATTGTCACGAGTGGCGTAGTGTAACTTTAAAATCAGTATTCTCACGAGTGGCGTAGCCACTCGTGAGAATACTGTTTTTAAAGCCCGCTCGATGAAATGAAATTTCATCTTACACACAAACAAACAAATATCCTCTATGTCTTGTAGTTGCTGCAAGATGTGTATTTGGATACTTAGTGTTATAACCGGTGTAAGTTAAAAGCACATTCGCCTTGATAATTGAAATTGTCTTATAGTATATAAAAGTGAAATAAAGGCGTAAAGTTTGTGAAAAAAAATTAAATGAAAGAATTGCAGGATGAAAATCGTATAAGCTATGCTTACAAAATGTCGAAAATCAACTGAGCTTCAGAAATATATATTTAATTTTTGACACACTTTGTTCAAACTCTTGTTAACCATTTCCAACCGTAATAATGAAACCATGAAGCGTTGTTCGTCTGGAATTATTTATAGACCTTTTGTTCAAGAATCGTATAGTGAAATGCATCGATTGAAAAAATATTTATAACCGTCCGTTACGTCCGTGACATAAAGTAATGATTAATTTAGTTTACGTACGTTCAAGGATAGGAAAAATGAATTAAATAGTGAAATATTGTCATGTGAACAAAGCAAGTAAGTTAAACAATGCAAATGACACTTAAAATCTACAAAAAAACTATTAATGAAAGGATCAGCTCTATAATACATAATAGATTTTACAATTTTTGTTTTATATAATTATAGAATGTACAGAACCCATACCACCACCACTAAGAGCTTGTCGGTCTTTTCGCCTTGAAACCAAGGACTCACTATCACAAAATCTGTTTGTAGCAGTACCCAAACTATAATAAATGAGATATGGTCAATAATACTTGCGTTAGAAATATACGAACATATTTTTTAAATGTAATAACCGTTTCATTTTCAAATTAAAGAATAATAAATGTAATGATCATTAGTTTTAATTTAAATGCAAACCTCCATTTCAAAATACCCTCAGGGGATAAATTGCAAACTGCAATAAATCAAATAGCAATTTGTTTGCAGAATATGATAGTTTGATAAATGTTCTACCTTTGAAATTGAAATAATAAACTTATTAAATATTGCAAGCTCGGAATAGCTAATGAATGCACAGACCTTTTTGTTTCCATTTAACGCTCCCCGGGGTGTCTCTTTCTATAGTTACAAAGCAACAAAACAACACTGTAACTGGCAAATATATCAGAATACAATAATTGAAAAGACGTTATCATATGATTTTAATGATCTATACTATCTCGTTGGTCTCTCACTTGTGAATTCAAATACAACTTTGATCGCATGTTCATACGAGCGTAAACTCTCTTTCAAATGTTTCAATATCACAAAAGTCATACGTAATGTTTCACGAGTGATTTTTTTCTCATTTTTTTAAGGTTTTATATTATGATAATACAATTATGAAGAGAGATCTTACAGATTTGAATAATGAAATCTGTTAAAGCCGGTGTTCGGGGCCTTAGGACATCATGGACATCTTAAAAGTTTAAATATCTTGAAAAATCATACCTTATTTAACCGCGTTTTCAATATTTTTACATAACCCTGCCGGACAACATTAGTCTATTCTTCTATCGAATAGTAGCAATCAATAAAAAATTATTGTGTTTTCCTCAAGTCTCCAGAGAATCTATTTGTAAAAAAACAATTATATACGGTACATAAGCAGAAAACATAAAGTAGTCATAAAAAATAATAAGTGTCCTGTCACGCATTAAGGATGGTTTAAATTATGGAGGTATCTGAACGTGTGCAGTTTTAATACTAAATTTACTGAGTTCGCTGAATTATAATTATTTTATTCATCGTGTCCAAAATATTAGTAATGACCTACCACGAATGGCATTTGATATTTTTTTATTACATACGCAAACTAAGGACTGTTTTAAGAGATTTGGCGCCAAGGTCAATGATGTTAATTATTGATTTCTTTGTGATCGCGACGAATCGCAACACTGGATAAACAAAAGCCTTTGCCGAAAGGGAGCAACGCTCGACTTATTTTACTTTTTCTAAAAGAAAACAAATAAAAGGTTTAAACAAATCTTAAACTAGAAAATTTAATGAAAGAAACAAATATAGTTTTTCCTTGTTTTTTAATTGTCAATAGGTGGGTCTAGTCAAACTTGTTGCTTTTTTCCAAGTATGAATCATTACCATAATGTTCTAAATTTATCAATCTAAAACTTTTACATGGTCTAAGTTCCATAATTGTACATCAAAGGATAAGTAAGTAGGTCACATCTTCATCTTATCTTGGTTAGCTGATATCAAAGTTCATTTTAGCATTTAAAATTAATTAATTTGTGCATATGGTTCAAATTTCATATTTTTACATTAAATGACACAAAAGTAGGTCAATTCACCAAAATCTAGGTCAGCTGATATCAAATATCATTTTTACAACCAAAACTGTGCATATGGTCCTAATGTCATAGCTTTTGGGAAAACAAGATAGTTTTATTAATTTGACCTTGATTGTTAATGTCAATTAATTTCAATGTTACATCTAAATTATAAAATATGTTTGTTTTGCCCATGTGTAAATCAAATATGTACATAAATTACAAAATTAAGACAATTTTACCAAAATTCAATAATTTGACATCGACGGTCAATATCACTAAAGAAATTTTTTCTCTCGTTGTTAGAATGATATAATTGAATGTTTGGTTTCTTTAGTGAATCAGAGAAACGTTTAAATAAAAAAAAATATGCTTTTGTTCTAGATGCTCACTAAGTAAATGTATGTATGAACATCGACCCACTTCAAATATCAGGATTAGATGTCACATGTTTACATGTCGCACAAATGTTTATAGTTGTCGAAATTTGCTTCCTCGCATTCTTTTGTTTTATAACAAATATAAGCACACTGAATGGCTGTGGAAGTCTGTACTGTTGTTTTGTTTCCATTACCCGACCAGTTCGACTTGATGTCAAAATCTGATAAATAGAAGATATTGTTTGATATATAGTCAAGCTTTTATTCAGTTTTTGTGTTTTCATTATTGATACATCATCACCATTATATAATTAGATGCCACGAAAACACAATAGTATCATGTTAAATAATTATACATATATATATGAAATTTGCAATAACACACAACAAAAGCGTAGAAACGCAAACCAAATGCCTAATAACGCAAAACAAAATGCATAGTATCGCGAATAAAGGCTAGGAAACGCGCTAAGAGCATAATGACGCAAAACAATTGGCGTAATAACGGATTAAACGTTAAGCGAAGAAAGGCGTAATAATGCAATACTAATGGCCATTAAAAGGCAAAACGAAAGGCAAAGTAACGTAAAAATAATTACATATTAATACTTATATCAAATGGCCTGCAAACGCAAAAAAGAAGAACAATAAACGATATTACGATAATTATTTTCGTCATCATGTAATCATTACCTTTCCTTTTGAATTTTGGAATCAATGATCCCCCGAAGGAAGTAGAAGCTTAATTAGACTTTCTACAACCATATACGAGTTCAAAAACCTTCAGCTATTTTATCTGATTTTTTCGTAATGTTCTATCAAATATGGTAAACAAGATCAACACGGAAAGGTGGCGTTCAATAAACGCAAGTTACTTTGATACTATCTTTAAAGATATTTAACAAAGATAAGTATGCGCATGCTGATACGGATGATATATGGTTTCCAGCAGGTTGCCTCGATACCGACAAACAGTAAAGCCGTAAGCATGTGAAAATATGGCTACAGTGGTCTAGCGTTAAATAGCCAGCCTAAATTCGAAATTTAAGCATCACACGTAATCAAATTATTCGCCCGTTCATTGTTTAAGGTCAGTGTTATCGAGTCTCGACTGCCTGATAACTGAAGCTCAATATCTCTAGCTCACGTAAGGACGACTTGATAAAAACTAAAGCTTTTGACTGTAACAAAATCCGTTATATCACCGTACGTAGTTCAAATATGAAAGAGTTATCATATTAAGAAAAACTTTATCAGATTCTGTTTGTTTTTTTCTATAATTGAAGTAAGATTGTTGTTTGTTCCTTACATTGAAAATTGACATATCCAAAGACCTGAACCTCGCATAACGTCAAATAGTCTATAACAGATGGAATTGTAGTTATGCGGACCCAGCGTCCAAGCGCTACATTTTCTAGTTGAAAAGTATACGTGGGTCCAACTACTCCCTCATGAAAGCCATATTGTTTGTATGTCTCTGTCTTCAAGCCGATATATAACTCGACCTCTCTTAACCGGTTACCTGTAATAAAAAAGATATTCCAATTTGTGTCGTCGCTGTCTTTTCTTCAGCAGCACTATCATAGTTACTGTCAATCTTACAGTCCTTTCATAAAGGAATGACTATTACACAAGTCAACCAAATAAACAGGAATGTCGACAGTTTTTTTTTATTTTTTTTTATTTTTTTTTATATATATTTTTGAATCCCCCCCCCACACACAAAAAAGGAGGAAAACACTAGGACATCAAGAACCGGTTGAACCGGTTGATGCTCCCCGAGAATATTTTGGACACAGGAAAGTATAAAAAAATAACCAAGGGCAAAAACTCCAAAATTAGGCAAGGCAGAGAGTTTTTTTTTGTTTTTTTTTGCACTGCACTTCTATTCAATGAGATCTATCTATAAAGTTTAGTAATGATATATCTTATAGTTTCAGAGTTATGTCCCGGGTAAAATTCAAAGTGTAAAAATGAACAAAGGGCAATAACTCCAAAATTAGACAAGGCTGTGTATTGTTCTTTAAAATTGCAGTTCTATCCAATTAGATTTGTCTACCTACAAAGTTTCATGTTGTTATCTCTAATATTCTTAGAGTTATGTCCCGGACAAAAGTCAAAAAGTAAAAAATAAACAAAGGGCAATAACTTCAAAATAAGGCACTGCACTTCTACCCAGTGGGACTTACCTACCTACAATGTTTCATGTTGATATCCCTTATAATTTTAGAGTAATGTCCCGGACAAAGTTCAAAGTGTCAAAATGAACAAAGGGCAATAACTCCAAAATTAGGCAAGCAAAGTTACGATTCTTAAACACTGCAAACCTTCGCAATGAGATCTATCTATCTGCAAAGTTTCATGTTGATAACTCTCATAGTTCCAGGGTTATGTCCCAGACAAAGTTCAAAGTGTACAAAAAACAAAGGGCAATAGTTCAAGTATTGGGCAGGCAAGGTTACGGTTCTTGTGCACCGCACACCAACTCAATGAGATCTTTCTACCTACAATGTTTCATGTTGATATCTTTTATAGTTTTAGAGTTATGTCTCAGCCAAAGTTCAAAGTGTACAAATAAACAAAGGACAATAATTTAAAATTAGGAAAGGCAGAGTTACGGTTCTTGTGCACTGCACACCTACTCAATGAGATCTATCTACCTACAATGTTTCATGTTTATACAAAGTTATGTCCCAGACAAGAATAGCGGACGGACGGACAGACGGACGAACAAGGCGGCGACTATATGCTCCCCCGAAATTTTTCGGGGAGCATAAAAAACCAAACAAATAACGCACCCTCCAAAAAAAAAGTCGAAAAAAAACTATTTTGTCTCAAATTATTTAGATCATATAACCCTATGATAGATTGACATATAGAATATCATAGGATAGTACATCACGCCAAAATTGAGCAGCATTTTTATAGTATTTATTCACAGAAAACAAACAAAACTCCTTCATGTCTTCACGTTTTTTATCAAATGAAAATAATACAGTAATAGTTTTTTCACAGTAATCTCACAGAATGAATCATTGTAAAGTATACAGACGATTCCATTTATGTAAGTATGGTGTCAGTATGGTGTGTTTATATGTGTATATATGAGACCGTACACTGGACATAACCCTGAACTGTACGTATTGGTGTAAACGCATAGTAACTTTGGAAATCAAACAACAACTGATAAGATTATTACTAAAAGGAAAAATATAGATAAGAACAAAATAAATCAATTCTTACTGCAACAGTCCGCTCGATTATATATAATCACGTGGTCAATGAAATACGCTCTGCCTAAATCCACCTCCCAGAATGCATCAGCACGAGCTGTTGTATGTGTACAAGAGTTGTCCCCCATGTGTTGAGATAAACCACCATCGACAGCTAAAGCAGCATAGCGGCCACCCTGTACATCACTCTGACGAGCATTCTTGTTAAGTGCGAGATTAACTAAATTGAAATTATAATATAATTTTATAGCAAAACATAAATACGACAGCAAATTTTACATTATATTAATCCAGTATATCAAATCACGGTCGTTATAGCTATTTGTTGTGTAGATAACAATGTAGAAGGATACGACCTGATAGACAAAAAATATAGTGCAACATTTTTACTTTATTGAAGTGAAGCCAACCAACATTTAAAATGTATGGCATCACAAATTTTTTAAATATTGTTATAGACAGGTACCGAATAATAAGCAATAGAAAGGAGGTTTTATCTTTGATTATAAATGTGCGTGACGTGATTATTTATTAATATCAAAGGTCTGGGCTGGCTTTCAAGCAAAATGGTTATCTTCACTTCCATACAAATTGCTAAATAACTGCAACTGTGACCAAAAATGAACGCAAAAGAAGGCTCAGATAAATGAAATTAGTAACTTTTTGAAAACCAGAAATAGAAATCTTTTAGACAGTAAGTATAATAATATGTTTGAGACTTAACGAATTGACGCGTTTTTTTATTGGTGTACTCAAATGTCTAATTACTCTTACCTAGTACATGTTGCTCTATAACTCCAAAATAACAAGATAGAATAAGAAAATTCCGCCTGCTTTGAGCAAACATGTTGTTTCATTGAAGAGCAAAATTCAGCTGAATTTAAGAATCGTTTTTGATCATTTCTGATTATTTCCAAGTCAATATTAAAATACAAAATGTACATTGAAACATGAAATACATGATAAGCAAATATAATGAAGCATGGACAATAAATCACAATGAACAAATAGTGTATCACTCCTTGCATTTACAAAAAGTAATAATATATGGTGGCTGATTTTTGCCATATGTGTTTTCGCCCCGCGACCTCGCAAAGCGAAAAGTCGAGAATTAACAAGCCGCGGAAAGAAAGCACAGTAACTAACTACCCTCAACTTGCAGAGAACAAGAAGGAAACATCAGTTTACCCTCAAATCGCTCAGAAAAAGAGGAAACATCAATTCACCATTAAATGGCTAAAAAAGAGAGTGGGAAACATCAGTTTAACCCAAAATGACACAAAGATAGAGGGAAACATCAGTTTAACCCAAAATGACACAAAGATAGAGGGAAACATCAGTTTAACCCAAAATGACACAAAGATAGAGGGAAACATCAGTTTAACCCAAAATGACACAAAGATAGAGGGAAACATCAGTTTAACCCAAAATGACACAAAGATAGAGGGAAACATCAGTTTAACCCAAAATGACACAAAGATAGAGGGAAACATCAGTTTACCCTCAAATGACACAAAGATAGAGGGAAACATCAGTTTACCCAAAATGACACAAAGATAGAGGGAAACATCAGTTTAACCCAAAATGACACAAAGATAGAGGGAAACATCAGTTTAACCCAAAATGACACAAAGATAGAGGGAAACATCAGTTTAACCCAAATGACACAAAGATAGAGGGAAACATCAGTTTAAACCCAAAATGACACAAAGATAGAGGGAAACATCAGTTTAACCCAAAATGACACAAAGATAGAGGGAAACATCAGTTTAACCCAAAATGACACAAAGATAGAGGGAAACATCAGTTTACCTCAAATGACACAAAGATAGAGGGAAACATCAGTTTAACCCAAAATGACACAAAGATAGAGGGAAACATCAGTTTAACCCAAAATGACACAAAGATAGAGGGAAACATCAGTTTAACCCAAAATGACACAAAGATAGAGGGAAACATCAGTTTAACCCAAAATGACACAAAGATAGAGGGAAACATCAGTTTAACCCAAAATGACACAAAGATAGAGGGAAACATCAGTTTAACCCAAAATGACACAAAGATAGAGGGAAACATCAGTTTACCCTCAAATGACACAAAGATAGAGGGAAACATCAGTTTAACCCAAAATGACACAAAGATAGAGGGAAACATCAGTTTAACCCAAAATGACACAAAGATAGAGGGAAACATCAGTTTAACCCAAAATGACACAAAGATAGAGGGAAACATCAGTTTAACCTCAAAATGAAAAAGATAGAGGGAAACATCAGTTTAACCCAAAATGACACAAAGATAGAGGGAAACATCAATTTACCCTCAAATGACTCAGAAAAAAGAGGAAAACATCGATTTACCCTCAAATGACTCAGAAAAATAGGAAATCATCAGTTTACCCTCAAATGACACAGAGGGAAACATCAATTTACCATCAAGTGACTCTGATAAAGACGGAAACATCAAGTAACCCTACGAAGAAGTAACATCAATATACACTCAAATGACTCAGAAAAAGAGGAAAACAACAGTTTTTATTTTTCTTTGCACTAATGTTTTAATAATAATATACTTATACAGACATATCTGAATGTTAGCAAAAGTTTAGTCTAACAATGTAACGTTCCAGGACTTTGACAATGATGACTGAAATAGTGTAATTAACAATTTCAAGGAAAACCCCTGATGTTTAATGATAGCAATTCTACTACATATTGAAATAATAGCATACATGAATATTCTTGTCGATATCTTTTCACTATTGTCGTTTAGTGTCATAATATGTACTTTCTTTTATGATTTGATACTGATTTTCGAAGGGGAATTAAAACGTAATGTACAATGTACTTTTAATCATGTGTGCTGTATAGTGGAGAATTTTATTAGATTTCATATCTTTCGATCTAATCCATTTCAACACTGTATATATTGTATGCATATATGTTATGTATATTGATGAACATAATATGTTTTAACTAAGTAGGAAGACAGCTGCCGTGAGGACAACCTATCTCCTCGCGTCATCTCTGAATGTCTTAAAGCCACAATGCATTTTGGAATATTGAAAACAACTGTGCTTTTGGTCATACTTAATTTGATATACAATATATAACACATTGTTCAGTCATGCGCGATTCATTAACCTGTGTAAGTTTCAGTATCGATGAACGGTGTAATATGATGTCTGATTTCTGTCATATCTTTACTTCGTTCTTTCGCGGTTGAAGGGACGACAACACAAAAGAACGAAATAGCGACAAAAATATACATTCTTGTGTTGTCACAATGTTTTTAGCGGTACTTCGTGTCGGCGCCCTTAAACACGACACCACAACAAAACGAAACTATAAAAGCGCTGTTTCTAGATTTTAATGCGACAACACGAAGATAAAACATATCATATTGTCGCCCCTATATTCGGCGTGTTGGCGTCCTATATTTGTCGTTATATCGTTTTGCCACCTGTGCGTGCAACAGGTGCGACAACACGAAAGAATGAAGAAATGTTAAATTTCGGCGCGTTGCGAGAATACCAATTAATTAGTACTTTGTAATAGACAAAAACATTTAAAATGATATAATCCCGATGTAAGTCACCATGATTGTAATGATATCCAAGTATTACTTGGCTCCATTGTAGTAAAATGGGCATATGTGTATTTTACGTCTGCGCATGCTTAGCGGAAGGGGAAAAGACGTCGAAACGAAATTTACATTGACATGTTGTTATTTCGTTTTTTTCGTGTCGTCGCCCCTTCAACTGCGACAAGACGAAGTATCGACATGGCACATTTTAGCCACCATAGTGTAAAACGTAACGTATTGCAATTTTGCAATTCTTTAAACCATAGCTGGGTGAGCTTATCCATAATTAATGTTTTATTAATCAATATTTGTTTATAATCAAGCAAACAAAAGCTAGAAATTTATTAACTTTTACTAATTCCTTTTTGTCTAAAGTTATGAAGAGGCGTAAACATTTACTTCTGGTTATAAATCTAATATTGTTTAGAATTCTGTTCTCTCGGGGTTTTTATCCTGTCACGGTTATACTTAAAACAAGTGAACTTAAATAAATGTGCTTTATTTGAAATATCGCAGTTTTGTCAAAAGAGATGTGCATCATCTGAGATATCGAACTGTGTGTTATTACCATAAAAAAACGTTAAAGACAGTTCGCCGCATCATGCAATAATGTTCAACTATAATAATCTTATTAATTATGAAGGAATAATGTCAGTCTTTCAAAATTTCAAACTGATAAGCCTATACCCACGATTCATTTCGATTTATATGTTTTAAATTTTGGTTGAGAAATACATGCGCATTTAATAGTATGTTTTACTTGCGTCAATTTTAAATAACGAAATCAATAGACCAATAAGAATTAAAAAAAATCTTTCTTTTTTTCAAAAAGCTCTTTATTTTTAAATTGTTACAGTAGTATTCCACAGTAAAATTGTGTTAAATGAAAACACGCGCATTCTATCTTAATTTAATTGGAGGAAAAAAGCCACGTCAGAAAAAAAAACTGTTTTGTGTTCCCCCATTTGTATTACCTAATTAGGTAATCGCGGGTTAAGAATAAATTGTCAAAACATCAGACGACAGGAACACGTGCAGTTTTCTGAGGTAATAAGATGCCAAGATAATACCGGTATTTCAATCAAAAGATTGTACACTCAAGCGTATATGAACTGTAAAACCAGGTACAACAATATTTGTTTTTAATGTGTTATTTATATATTTTATAAAATGCCCATGGCTTTGTTATAAAATATTTACAAGAACAGCGTTGAGCACAGCATCAAAGGGCGTCCAACTTGGCAAGAAATGCAGCAAATGAAGATGAACTAGTAGATTTCGATGACCAGATATTCTTATGAACTTTTCATTTACCAGAATTGTATAATATTTATGAATGGCCGGACGAAAGACAATGTTCATCATGAACTACTAAAGGCATGCTAGAGATTAGAATATTAAATGGTTTTTTTTTTCACAGAATTTTAAAATTCTATCAATATTAACGATATTATCCAAAATATACAGGTCTATAATATCAAAATTATACCCCCGGACATAAGGTTTAAGTTTGTTTATACTATATAGGGGTATTTTTGGATAATATCATTAATATTGGTTATTTGATAGAATTTCAAGTTCATGTGATATTTTCTTTGGAACATACAAAGTAGTAGTAAAAACGAAAAAACGTCTGATAATTAAATTAATGGGGGGTCAATCTACTATTTCAATGAATCAATTCAAAAACTCGTCTGACTCACCAGTGTGTTTACACTGCCATCAATAAACCCATAACAACCCATGTGAAAATTGCAGACGTTAAATGTCAAAATATTCGGCAAATCAACATTCCACTCCAACTACCATAAAATCGATTGCCTTCAAACAAACTTCAGAGGGAAATCAGGGTCGATTTATTCAAAGAGACTTGAGTAGCGAATAAGGGTTATAGTATACTACTGCTAGACTTGTTAACTATCGCACAGCGTCAAAATTAAAGCGACATTTAATGTTATGAACTAGGTCTATTTAAATATTCACGGTAACAATGTCATAAGTGCAACCAGGGCCGTAAAAGAAAATCGGAAAGAACCTACGGAAAAGACAAATTTCCAAATGATAATATTATAATATAACAATTCGTAAAAATGGCTTACTTAATTTTTTTTCTATAGATTTATAAAGAGTGCAATTATTTATTGTTTAAATTTGTTTGCATTTCATTTCCTGCAAAATGCTCCAGTTCGTTATTTATTACCATAGCGCGACACGAAACGTTCGAGATGAACGTTTCGTTAAACAAAAACTACTTCTACAAATAGATTTTCGGACTTTCACAATGTTAAAGTCATCATTTTATTTATAGGTACAGCAATACCTAATAACCCACTGTGTACTAATAAAATTCCCGAAGAGCGTGATTAATTGACGGATAAGATAATTTCATTTGAATATGGTTGCAATGCGAAATTCTCCAGTTCGCTTTTCATTGTACATATCGCGATATTCCATTTTTGATAATCAAACACTCTCATACCAATCGTAATGATCGGCTATTATGACCGAAGAAAAGCTCAAGAAGTTGCAATTGTCCTTTCACAAAATCTGATGTCATACATAAGAGGCGAAGACTGTAGTTGACAGTTGTACATAGGTTTTGAACATGTCTGCACCAATTTAATTGTTAAATAAAAATAAGAATGGTAATGATTTATACATTACAAAATGAGTTGTCCAGATGTGTAATATTTAAATGAAATATCTCTGTATTTTTTCTATTCTAACAACAACAAAATATACAACAAAAAAAACACAACAACAAACCCCATCAACAACAATTCGTTGTTATCATAAACAACCAGGGAAAGCAATCAAGACATATAAAAATGTATCAACAAGCTGGCATCAATTTAATTGACTCATTGTTCTACTTCATTCTCCTCTATAAATCAAGTGTCTACGTAATTATATTGACCCGTAATATTATTGATACGTAATTATGTATCAAAATGTATGATGCTTGATTGTCCGGTTTAAAATGATAAATAGCATACGAAAGTACCTAATTTGTTGGAATGACGTATACTTTTTCGAAATCAGCGGATTACGCATGCGCGACATTATAGCGAAACCCAGATACACCCCATTTTTCAGTTTTCATATATGACTCTTATATTTTAAGTAACAGTGCGTTTTGTTAAAACTGTCTGTCCAAGAGTATGGTTATATGTAAACGCTCTAAAGTACAAGGGGAGTAAATTTTATGGTTTTCTTCACTACATGTTTATTGTTAATTTGAAAAAGAAAAACATTGCGATTTGCTTCCGAAAGTCTAAAGTAAATTGAAGAAAAGCTTTTATAAAATAATATAGATAATTACATATAAAGTTTATATTAACTAAACATGTATGAAAAAATACCCTTAAACAACATTATTGAAACATACGTGTTTTGTTTTAAAAAAAACGTTCATTATGTCTTTTTTATTGCACTCAATGTTACAACCCAAGTTGATTTAATTATTTGAGATATGTTCGTCTAGCAAAAAAATTATTTTAGGGTTGAACATACTTGATAGGGGTCTTATTTAATATAGATTATTCAGTTAAGATATACTATGCTTAATTTTTATATAAGAATATATTGAAAATTGCTACACAGTCTCTTTGAAAATATGAAATAAACATGTTTTGACTTCACACAAAGTAGTTAAAAACTCTACACGCTATATGTGGTCGCAATATGAATATATAAAGTTATTAAAAAAAACTGTTGTTTTTTAAGAAAGGACCATCTTTACTTAACCTGTAACAGGGAACGCAGCTTCCCATTCATAATTTATTCATTCTTTTATTCAAATAAGACATATTCAGTAAGAATTTTATAGATTTCACATAACTACGATTAAAATATTTTACTCAAGGATGAGCATATTATATCTTAATTTTTCAACGAATGCATAATAAGAGAGTTCTGGAAGAAAGTTGCTGTTTCGAACCCGAGAGGCCATTATGCATCTCAAATCTGTCTTTTACAAGAAGATAACACAACATGTTTTTGTAATAACTATTTTATTTCTTGTGGCGAATATTTCCATCATGACTGGGTAAAGAATAATTTTAGAACTACACATCATAATTGCCCCGACAACGGTCGTAAATATAAAAAAAAACGTTATGTTAAATTTCAGCTGAGAGGAGTAGTCAAATACGAAATATTGCAAACTAACACAATAAATATGCACCGACATCGGTAACACGTGTAATGTACGTTAGATATTTCACACAAACATTGTTTGATGTCCTTTGGATCATAACAAAGTGTTGCAAGAGCACCGACAACGGTTGCAAGGAATTATCAAGGAATTGACTAATGTGTATTCTGTAATTTAAGTACTCCGTCGCCCAGCATATATCATTTGTCCCAGTCATGACGAAGTGCAGGGTGATTGATGACTACTGAAATTTATAACAAAGCGCATCAGAAAAACGGGTTGTTGTGAGTGGGAAATTAAAACCCTAATTTGAGATTTTTACAAATATAAATAAAATGTGATCAGCAGCTATCTTTCCTCAGCAGCAGGCTCACGCAGCTCCTTATATAGCGTTCTAGACTGAGCATGCGTATTGATACGCAGTTCTTATGATCAATAAATTAGAAAAAAAATATGTCATTTATGTAAAATACGGTAAAAGAGTTAATTTCTTAAATGATTAAACTTTGATTATTAAATAGGAATTAAGAAGGAATTCCATAAAGTAGCATCAAGCGCACTTACACGGAACTTGGTTATTTTAAATCATGTGATACATATCTGTGTATGTTTCATTAAGCTTTAAGAAAAGAGTAATCATTCACACTTTCATGATTGTCAAAGAAAAGAGGTGAATATATAATTATAGACATTTAAATAGGATATATTGTGTCACAGGAAACTAACACGAGTCATGGTAGATCGTACTGTGGTGAGTTTACGTGATTGAAAAGTATTCGAGAAAGTGATACCAAAATACATTACTTGTACTACAGACATACACAAAGCTATTATCTGGCTACACGTACGTGAATTTATTACTAGAGACGAACAGTTTATTATCATTATGTCAATAGCAAGAAGGCAAATGCTTTTAAAATGTTTTTTTTAATTCATTCTTTCTTTTTGTTTTGATATCAACGTCTGTCTTCTCGTTGTTAAAAATATTTCATGATATTCTGGTAGAATGTTTCGCTTCTTAAATGTTTATGTTTACGAAAAACACCTTGAATTGGCCTGGAATCGAATGATATTAATTTGCCGGGTATCTAATTATTGTGAACGATGAAATGTTTTTAAAATATAAACTACTACTGTACGTATATTTTAGAATCGCGCACACAATATTTGATAACGTGTTTCACACGTGTCAATTATTGTTTTCTCAATCTTTCAATGCAGATCAAACATTTTATTATGAGGTAAAGTACCATTTAAACCAAACGTTAAGCTTTTGTTGTAGATGCTGACTACGTAAATATCAACATCGACCAATTTCCAATATCTGGATTTGATGTTAGATGGTTACATAGTTGTTCGAATATACATTTGTTTCTCATTGTTTGAATGATATAATAATTGAATGTTTGGTTTCTTAAGTGAAGCAGAGAAAAATTTAAATTAAAAAAAAAACGGTTTTGTTCCAGATGCTCACTAAGTAAATGTATGTATGAACATCGACCCACTTCCAATATCAGAATTTGATGTTATATGTTTACATGACGCACAAATGTTTATCGTTTTCGAAATTAGCTGTCTCGCATTCTTTTGTTTTATAACAAATATAACCACACTGTATCGCTGTCGAAGTCTGTACTGTTGTTTTGTTTTCAATACTCAACCAGTTCGACTTGATGTCAAAATCTAATAAAGGAAAAATATTGTTTGATATACAAGCTGCCGTTTTCATTATTGATACATTGTACATCATTAACATTAAACAATTAGATGTCACGAAAACCTAAAAGTATCAAGTTAAATAAATATTTATTTATGAAATGCGTAATAACGCGCAACAAAAGCTTAGAAACGCAAACCAAATGGGTGATTACGCGAAACAAAATGCATAGTAACATTACGCGCAAAAAAGCGTAGTTACGCGAAACAATTGATGTAATAACGCAAAAAGCGTTGTTACGCGAAGCAAAGTGAGTATTAATGGAAAACTAAAGGCCAGAATCGAAAGAGTTATCATATTTCAAATATAAAAGAGTTATCATATTTAAGAAAACTTTATCTGTTTTTTCTATAATTGAAGTAAGATTTTTAATTTTTCCTTACATTGAAAATTGTCATATCCAAAGACCTGAACTTCGCATAACGACAAATAGTCTATTACAGATGGAATTCTAGTTATGCGGACCCAGCGTCCAAGCACTGTATTTTCTAGTTGAAAAGTATACGTGGGTCCAACTACTCCCTCATGGAAACCATAAATCTTGTACGTCTCTGTCTTCAAACCGATATATAACTCCACCTCTCTTAACCGGTTGCCTGTAATAAAACAACAGACAAACCAATTTGTGCCATCACTATTTTTTTCAATCAGCACCATCATAGTTACTGTCAACAATCTTGCAGTCCCTTCATAAAAGAAAGACTATTACACACGTAAACCCAATGAACGGAAATGTTTTTTAGTTTTTTTAGTGTTTTTTAAGTATTTTTTATATATATTTTTGAACATCCCCTCTCCCAAAAAAAAACAACAACAACAAACAAACAAATAACACACCCTCCAAAAAAAAATGAAAACAATCTATTTTGTCTCAAATTATTTAGATCATATAACTTTATGATAGATAGGATATCATAGGATAGTATATCACGCTAAAATTGAGCGATCTTACGTTTTCTGGTGCGTGATGTAAACATGTTTCATTTTTAAAGTATTTATTTATGGAAATCAAACAAAAGTCAATTATGCCTTCAAGTTTTATATCTAATGAAAATAAAACAGTGATATTTTTACACATAAATTCCACAGCCACAGCATTAATCATTTAAAAGTATACGGACGATTCCATTTATGTAAGGGATCAGTATGGTGTGTTTATATGTGAATAAATGAGACCGTACACTTGACATAACCGTGAGCTGCATATATTAATATAAACGCTTAGTAATTTGGGAAATCAAACAACAACTGATAAGATTATCACTAACAGGAAAAGAATAGATAAGAACAAATTAATTATTAAGTATTTATTCACCGAAACAAAACAAAAGTACTTCATGTCTTCGCATATTATATCAAATGAAAATAATACAGTGATATTTTTTACACATAAATTCCACAACATCATTGAAAAGTATACGGACAATTCCATTAATATTAGTTAGGTGTAAGTATGTTGTCAGTATGGTGTGTATATATTGGACCGTACACTGGACATAACCCTGAGCTGCAAGTATTGGAATAAACTCATAGTAACTTAGGAAATCAAACAACAACTGATAAGTTTATTACTAAGTGGCAAAAATATAGATAAAAGAAAAGAATAAACTCTTACTGCAACAGTCTCCCCGATTATATATAATCACGTGGTTGATAAAATACGCTTTGCCTAAATCCACTTCCCAGAATGCATCAGCACGAGCTGATGTATGTGTACAAGAGCCGGCCATCATGTGTTGGGATAAGCCACCATCGACAGCTAAAGCAGCAAAGCGGCCACCCTGTACATCGCTCTGACGAGCAGTCTTGTTAAGTGCGAGATTAACTAAATTGAAATTATTAATACAATTTATAACAAAACATAAATACGACAACAAATGTAACATTATATAAACCCATCATATCAACCACGGTCCTTCTAGCTTTTTGTTGTTAAGATAATTATTGAGAAAGATATGAACAGACAGACTGGCATATCATTTTTAAAAAATCGGACAACATTTCTATTTTTATACAAGTTCAGCCAAAACTTTATATATGAATAAATAAATTTGATTATAGACATGATTCCAAATAATTTGCAAGAGAAGGTAGGTATATATCTTTTATAATAAATGAACAAGACGTGTTTTTTTATTGCTAACAGGGGTCTTGGCTGGCATATAAGCAAAATGGTATCTTCCCTTCCATACAAAATAATTTATCATTGTATCTGGACTTATTGCAATAAATAACACAAAACTGCAAATCATGGATTAGATTCATGACCAATTAGTAACGTTGTGAGAACCAAAAATAAAATTATTTTAGAAACTAAATATAATGGTATGTTTGAGACTTAATGAATGTTTTTTTTTTCTATTGTACCAAAATTATTGATATCTCTTACCTAGTACATGCTGCTCAATAACTCCAAAATAACAAGAAAGAATAACAAAGTTCCATCTGCTTTGGGCAAACATATTGTTTCATTAAAGATCAAAATACTGCTCAATTTAAGAATACTTCTGATTCTGATCGTATTTCTGATTGGTGTCCAAGTCAATATCACAATGTTTTGAAACATAAATAAATCATGAAGCATGTACAATAAAAAAACATTTAAAACTAAAAGTTTCCCTTTTCTTGTATTTACATAAGTTCATTAATATAAATAAGATAATTAGAAGTAGCGCAGATATAGGAAAACCTAGGTTGTAGTGGTGTAAGTGCAGGGATGTTGACGTAATCAATTTGTGCATTGCGTCGTGTGTATTGCATCAGCCGTGTATAATTACTCCCTAAAGCAAAGAACGCGCGAAAGTAGATCCTTATCACACACGATTAATTAGTGTCATGTATGAATAATATTCATATTAAGAAAATGTGTATTGGTCATAGAAAAAAATGCATATCAGTGTCAATAAATCGGAAAAGAGTTTAGTTTAATTTTTTACATTTTTTACGAAGAATTGTAAGTAATCTGGTAGGCAAATCTTTTACTGGCAATACTTATAAAAGATACGGGGTGATTTTATCGATTTCATTTAAATCAAGGGCGCAAATGACTGACTGAAATGAATACTGTAGATTACGAATGTGTGGTACAAATGGGTTTTTTTGATAATTAAATTGAAAAACAATGGGAATTTTTACGAGGAAAAACGCTGATCTATCATTGTAAAATGAATATTGTAGGCAGTATTTCACTAGAATTTAATGAAAGACACTGTGCGATTTTATCATTGACAATTTCTTTTTAAAAGGCACATTATGCCTCAGATATCCATATCAAATTTTATTAAACTCATTAGAAATGTGAAACATACGTTTAATTATGTTTAGACAATGGTCTAAGAGCATGTTAGATGTTGAACAGGTGGAGAAATGTAGCAAATAGACCGAAATGTACAGCAATGTTTTGTAAAGGTAACAAAATGTAAACAAAGTGGTATTTTTGCTTTAATACAAAATACAATTTCACTATAATAATTATACCAATTACTAACAAAGCAAAATACCTTTAAGATAGTTCATCTAAATGGCAAACTATAGTATTCTTTTGAAACTGTAGCGATATATCAAATATTTTTTTAAATAAAATGAAGCTTTCCGCCTTAAAATCAGGCGCGTGTTATGTATGCAACATATTACATGTATATAATTTATATCTGACCAGTTGGTATTTCCAGTATTATCATTGTTCTATTTTTAGAACATAAACTACATGTTTGTACTAGAACTTTCTTAACTGTTGTAGAAAAACTCATGCATTATAATTAGATAGAAATTTCCGGAATGATTTTTATTGTTGAAGTTGCTAGATTATGATTTATGTAGAAAATGGAAGACTATTCTAGAAACTTCTTAGCTTAATATATATAGGAGACATTTTTCTTTCGTATTACCTTTTGAGTCATCAGTGATCTTTTAAGTCATCAGTTACCTTTTAAGTCATCAATATATTTGGAGTATTATTCAACTTGGATATTAAGTGATTTATTGGAGCTTGGATTATTTTAAAATAGTTAAAATTATTCTTGTGGATTTTATTGTGGGAATTTATTCTAAAGTGTTCTTGGATTTAACTTGGATGTAACTGTGCTATTCAAAAAGGATCATTCCAGGATCAGACTAGACATTTGTAATTTACATTTTATTTGGACTTCAGGTATTTGTAAAGATAATTTGTTACTTAATTTTTCTTTAATAATTTTTCTGTAATAAATTTGTTATATTGTTACAAGTCTGTTGCTGGCTTTTCTTTCTCGTTACGCCTGGCTCGTAACACGCGCAATTGACTGAAAGAAAATAATCTTGTAGAAATATAAATAATTATCAGTATCAAAGGTTTAAATGTAGATCTAATGATATATTTGAAAAGATTGAAGAATAGCCGATTCTCGAAAGTGTTTTTAAATAGAACATCTCTGTTGTTTAGCACTCGAATATTTTTACAAAGTACAAAAAGAACAAAATAGAGATTTAATCATTAATCAAATGTCATTCGCCATTAAGGACATATAAAAACATAATAATGACTTTCATATAAGCGTTTTCGAGTTAATCTTTTTCAAAATTCAATCCAACATATAACAGATATATTGTTTTACACACTTTAATCAATTTGAAATGAAAGATATACGTTTATTATTCGTATCATAAAATTATTAGATAGATGATTTTTTTTAATCGAAGAATTGTGAATAATTATTTCTCATTAATGAACAATATTATGTGTGTTCCATACAAAAATACCCTCATACCTACATATAAACTGCTGAATGTCCAGCGCACCGTTGAATCAAGACATCATTTTAAATAAATGATTAGCAACACAAACAAAGCGAAAATAAAGTACATGAAATTTTGGGTGCTTGTTGTCATTACAAGCTAGCTATGCAAATTATATTGTAGATAAAATTAAAGAGACGCCTTGGTCGGCATGTTAAAGATGCGAACATGGAAATGTATCACGGACCGACCGTCTTCGTAATGCTAGATCGGGGAGAAAAATTTCATTATCACTTCGGTAGAATACTACTACTTAACATCAACGAAGACCATATTGCCTGCGATCGGACAATAAAATACGACTCATCACAGCGCCGACACTTTTGCAAACATGCACTATTTTAAATTTCTATGTCGTGACTACAGAGAAACTGTGATGAAAGGGTTTTAATCATGATAAAAAATGTATTGAAAATTGCAAAGTTTTTTCTTTTTGCTTAGTAGCGCATACTCGAATTGTTATGATCATAAGTTATTTTGTCTATCGTGTTGTCACTCAAATGCATGTACAATAAGTGAACAAAATGGAATCCAAACAATATAAGAAAAAGGAATCTAAGTACAAAATTTATAAAACCGATTCAGTTGCCCTGTGACTGGTGAGTTAAAGGCCAAATACGCCCCAGAATTGCTTTTCGTTTTATTTCTTAAAGCTGTTTTGTAGTCCTGCTATAGTTTTTAATAAGTTACTCAGTAACTCATTGGCCGACTACGTACCTAAACCATATTTTGCTTTTTTCCTTTTGCCAACAATACACTATTACTAATGCTGGTAGAGTATTTTGTATGGAAGCAAGCCCAAATACATCTTTGTATACATTTTACTACCTATGTTACAATTTTTATGACAAAAAATTTACTTTCAGTAGGTGATAAGCATCTAATTACCATGTTTTAGAAATTTACAAACAGCAGGATACACAAAGTGCTCACGAAGTGCTACTAGTTAAAATCGAACTCCCTTAAATTTACAAGCAAAAATGACGCTAGCATACGGAAGCCTGGGAGTATCATTTATTCATTAAAACTATGTATTAATTAATTATAATTTATAGGTTATAACTCATTCATAAATATTTATTACTTATCATTTTGAATTTATGAACCTTAAACAAGTTGGAAGAAGAGGAACATAATAGAAGCAGACAACCTAAGTTGTTATAAACATATTAGCAGTACAAGTAACGAGGACAAGGTAAATGGATTTGTTTAGTAATGTGATATTCTTAATAGGTCATGAGCAACGATTTTATAATAATTTGTAAAGAGAACAAACAACGACACTTGCAATATTGTACTACTGCGTCATGTATGATGGTGCTGTGCGACCTCATTATCTCTTAATTCGTGAAAGCACTTGTCTGCTTTTCATTATCAATGTTGTCAAACCAACGTGTTTTCTCTGCATGTCCCTGGGCTAAAGGAAAAATGAAGAGCCTATTCAGTACACGTGCTATATAATGGTTGTAAATGTTTAAAAAAAAGCAAAGTGTGTTTTACTAAGTGTGATTTTTTTTCTTGAAAGAGTCATCATATTACATTTTACTGGTTGGAACGCATATCTTACGATGTAGCCCAATTTCCTAGTTTGTTCATGTCTGCTTGAAGCTCTAAACAGCCCTGTAAGTTGATTATTTTTTCGTGGATGCTATTACTATTTGCAGTAAAAAATCAAAATAATTTTTTTAAAAATCTTCTCCTCTGAAAGTGCAAGGCCTATGGCTTAGATATTTTGTATGCAGCATCATCTTATAACACTCTTCAAATATTGTTCGAATTATAGACAATATTCTCCTCCGAAAGTGCAAGGGCTAAGGCTTAAATATTGTGTGTGTATTATAATGTAATGAGACCCTACATTATTCGAATGACATCCCTAGTTTCAATTCGCCCTGCCCTGGGGTCATTGATTTTAATTATGGAAATATCGTAATAAACAAGCTTCCCCACTGAAAGTGCAAAACCTAGAGCTTAGATATTTTGTGTGTAACATCACCTAGTAAAACTTTTAAAATAACTATAGCCCCGGGGTCATTATTGGCTCCACCCAGGGTCATTGATTTTTTATGTAGACAAAAACTTAAAAAAGCATATCCTCTGAAACTGGAAGGCCAAGAGCTTGGATGTTTTGTGTGTAACATTATCTAATGCAATTCTACAAAAAAAGGCTCAAATTATAGCCCTGGGGTCAAAATTGGCTTTGCAAAAGAGGGTCATTGATTTTCCTTATATGAATCTAGTAAAAACCATACAATTCAACTTCTTTGTTTTGACAAAGGCCTGGGGTAAAAATTGGTCACGCCCGGGGATTTTTAATTTTTATTTTGTACATATAGTAAAAACTTACAAAATCATCTCCTCTGAAAGTTCATGGACTAGAGCTTAGATATTTTGTGTGTAGCATCATGTAATAAAATTGTACAAAAATTTATCAAATTATAGCCGCTGGGTCAAAATTGGCAAAGGTGGTCATTGATTTTTCTGATATGTATCCAGTAAAAACTTAAAAAACCATCTTCTATGTTTTGACAACGGCAAGAGGTGAGAAATTTAGCATGAAATATCGTGTAGTGATTCTCTACCAATTTAATTCAAATAATAGTCCTTGCGTCAGATTTGTCCCCGCCCCATGGTGTCAATGATTTTTAGCTGATGGCAAATTGAATTTTGATAATCTGACCAATTTTCTTGCTTTTAACGTACATGTACATAGAATTTGGATTTCTGATTCCGAACTGAATTTTATCTGACCTACTTTTGATAGATTTGATAGC